CAGCACTATTAACCATCATCATTAACTCCACCTCCTCCATTTGCACCACCTGCTATTCTGTTGATCATTATCACCATCACCACTTATTTTCATCTTTCTCCACCCCTTTTATCATCATCACCAGCTGATCACCTGATCACTATAACTAGCATAAACACAACCTCATCTTATCCTCTCCTTGATATCCTGGTGGTAGGACAAAGGATGAAGAAAGGAACTGAGAAGGGAATGATGGTAATTTGATGAAGAATTTTGAATATAATTGGAATATTAGCCTCTCAGCTACTACTAATCATCTGGGTTTATTTAATTAATGAAATATACTATGGGAAGGAATGTAGATATCCATAAGGAGTTGTTTTAATAATTAATGGTGTATGCATTATTACAATAAGGCAGCCAGCTCTTGACTTATGAGAATAGTGGCTGATAATTTTTAGGTAATAACTTCACAATTAATAGATAAATTTCTCGAAAACTAATTATAGAACTCAACCTCTCTGCAGCAATTTGGATTTTTTTTTTCTATTTTCCATCACATGTTAAACATAATTACATCTTTAGTGATGCATGTATTTAAACTGTGTTCTGTCTGGTCCAACTGGTGAAAAGCATATACAGTTGGATTTTTTTATGCCTAATTGGAGAACTTGTTATGCAACTTATGTGATACCTTGCCGTTCTGTCTCCTATTTTGGACTACATCTTTTGTTGTTTATGCAGGATATGCCAGCTTTGGTGAACAAAATTAACAAGTCCATAGTGGCTCCTCTACCAAGTTCTTTCTCTGGTCCATTGTGAGCCATTCTTTTGTTTTACAGATTTTCTTCTTGTAGATTCAAATATTGGTGATTGTGACAGATCATGACTATTGTGTGCAGTAGGGGACTCACTAGAAGCATGCTTAGAAGAATCCCTGAACATAGGCCAAGTGTATGTTTTCATAAAAGCATTATGATTGTGTTTAAAGGTTCTCTAATATTCTATGATTCTACAAATAGTTTCTATCATCTTTATTTTATAGTCAACAGAATCTCATGTGACTGTTCACATTAACAGGCCGCAGAACTGCTCAAGCATCCACATCTTCAACCTTACGTTCTTCAAGTCAATTTAAAGTATCATCCTACATGGAAAATGCTCCCTGTCCACCAAGCTACCAAAAGGCACATCAGAAAAATCAGATTTGAAAATGATGAAGATGACGCCATGTATAAAGACAAGGACAAAAGAAAATCTTCAGGAAACGAGAGGATCTTGACAGTGAGCAAGCCTATGGAGGACTCCATAAGTTCAACTCAGACTATTAAAGATTCTTCAAATCGTCTGAACCAAAGAGTAATGGATCTTTCTGCAGGAAGCAGTCGAGCTGCAGAGAGAGGTATTGACAAAGCAATTGGTGAGAAGCACTCAAGTACTGTGAAAAAATACCTTCCTGCTAAAATCTTCATGACTCCTAGGACTCAAGTGGAGCCTACAAAGGCATTGCATGCTGGACCAAAGCGTGACGTGGTATGCCCATACATATTCCTTCTAATATGTTTATCACCATGGAACATAATAATAATCTTCCTTGAAAGAATTTGATTGTTAGCTTCTAAACAAAGAACTTTTGTTTTTCTGGCCTGATTGTGAAGCTTTTATAAGCTGTTGCACAGATAGCACTGACGAAACACAAATGCACATCTGTTTTTGTTTCTTTTCTATAATGTAATCACATAAAAGTTCCTTAAAATGATAAATGTCTTTGACATGCTAATCTCATGGGGGATGTAGCAAACTCTTGTGGTTGCTATTCTAAGAAGGATAAGATTTAACATTTTTGTTCTCATTATACCTATCGATCAGTTTTCTGATCAAGATAAAGAAAAACTTCAGCTTTTAAAGATTGAGTTGTTTTGTTTTCACATCTTTTTCTTTAGACTAGTTCATCACAGTGGTTTTAGTCACATGTAAACTCTTCGTATAATGCTTTGGTTGACATGTTCTAGATCAAATGTCTCAATGTCTTGAATATCCAGTGACTAGTTTTTCTATTAGTGATGCAGTGGGTGCATTGGTTCATCTATTAACTGTACTCACAACCACTAATTTTATTTCTACTGCAGCTTGCATTGCGAATTCCAGCAGATAGGATTGAACGAACCACTCGAAGAGCCTCTCTTCCTTTACCTTCATTTGAAACGCATTCCAAATGCAATTTCAGCATTTTCCACCAATTGGAATCCCCTGATGTCTCAGTCAACTCCCCTCAAATTGGTAGAATTGAAGAATTTCCATTAGCCTCATCGGAAGATCCCTTATCATCTATTCATAAACTCTCTTCAGCTCATGGTTCCTCAACCACCCCTCAAAACTATGGAGATCATTCGATCACCAAGGACAAGTGTACCATCCAAAATTCCCAAACTGAAGGAAACAACAGGAAAGGTTCTTCAGACCAGAATTCAACAGCTGCAGATGCCTCAAGCCGGGGATCATCAGAGTCAAGGCAGCATAGGTTTGACACCTCATCGTACCAGCAGCGAGCTGCGGCCTTAGAGGGATTGCTTGAATTCAGTGCTCTGTTGTTGCAACAGGAAAGGTTTGAAGAGTTGGGAATCTTATTAAGGCCTTTTGGTCCTGGAAAGGTCTCACCACGGGAAACAGCGATATGGCTAACCAAGAGCTTCAAAGAAAATCTACTGTGACCCAATCACTTGTGTCCATATACAATACTTTTTGACGCTAGATCTCAGTAGGTCTTGCATCAGTTTTGTAATGTGAAATAGTTTTATAGGCTGACAATTTAGCTCAAGACTAGTCTCTACAGGTATCAATATTGTTCTTGCCTTGTAAGTGCATTTGCTGGCTTGAATCAGGAAGATTTCTGGGTGCAGTTGTGCTTGCAGAACCTTGTTATCCTTTTCTTGAACCAATAGAGGATGAGTTAGTCATGTATCCCTAAGAATATGATTCAAGCTTATACACTATCATTTTGTTTCTAAGATGACAGACTACTGAACTTTTTGTTATCACTGGTTCTATCTGCATCAGCAACAACCTTTCCCTGCTACAATGAACCAAGTCCAGTTTGGCTATGGCCTTGTTGTGCCAGAGGTCCCATTGTGCTTGCTAACTCTCAAGGATCTAATGCTTCCAACTGATCCTACTTCATGTCTGAGAAATTGGCAATCCTAATGCATTGAATTACAAATAGAATTTTGTTTGTCCATTTCCTTAATTTGTCAATCCAAAAAATGATCTAATTGGATAGTATCATTTCATACTCATGCATTTATAGAACAAGGGAAAAAAAAAGGATATCAAAATCAATTTTATTCTTAGAATGCAGTCAACCTCTCATTCAAACAGGTTCATTTTCCCACACTTTCTATGGAATTTGAAGAACCACATTTCTATTTCTTATAAAGTGTAATTGCTACTAACTGGCAATTATGAGCATATGAAGCAAGTGATATTGTTATGATAACCATTGATTGCTGCATATGCTAATCACTCTTCTATGATTTCTTAATATCCATTGCCTTTTCAAGAAATTCTCCAGCAAATCAAAGGGAATGAAGAGAATTTGGATTGATCCATTTGCTCTACAAAATGTGTTTAACATGACATTCAATATTGATAGACTCACTTGTAAGCACAATCTAAATTTTAATAAATATACAATATTGTAAAATTTGCATTCCTCCATATTGTGAAATGGGAAATTGTAAAATGGTATCAGAGCCACTTGCCTAGAGCAAGCTCTCTTCTCGTTGTCGACTCATTTGTTGCTTCTCCACTTTCGACGATAAAAGAAAAAGCTTTCTACTACTGCTTTTCCATCGTCAGGCCATCGGTGCGATAAATCTTTCCGTCTCGGCGAACGACAACTATCTTCTCCACTGCCACTCTGCACCAACGTTCGTTCCCTTTCGCTTCGGCATCTCTAGTGCTACGCTCACCAGCACTGCCCCACCTTTCCTCCTTTGCTGTAGCCTTCTTCTCTATTGTAGCATCGTTGCAACTTCCTCCTCTACTGTACCTATATTGCAGCTTTCTCCTCTCTCCTCTGCTGCACCTCTGCTGTAGCTTTCTCCTCTGCTATAGTATCGCTGCAACATCGCTGTAACTTCCTCCTCTGCTGCAACTTCCTCCTCTACTGCAGCTTATTCCTCTGCTACAACATTGCTATAGCTTTTTCTGGCGTTCTCCTCTACTGCAGCCGTCGCCATCGTAGTCGCAACAACAACAACAATGATATGCTCTTGCGTTACTCACGAAGACTCTGGCTCGTAAATCATTTTTTGCATCGATCTAAGATTGATATCCTTAACATGAGCACCATCTTGCGGGGCATGATAGAAATAAGATAGGAAATCTTTCTATTCTGTTGAGGGAAATCCTCTATTCTATTGAGGAAAATTCTCTCTCCTAATCTATATAAATAGGAGATTCTAGTTCTCTCTCATAATCTGTATAAACAGGAGAGGGATATGTTAATGTATTCAAGCTAAAGCTATTTCATTTCTACAATAAAGCTTCTTCAATTATTGTTCTTTATCTTCTATTATTTCTATTAATTACAAATTTGTCAATTACACATCTTATTTATAATAAACATATCAATGATTTTTATGCATTATTTCGTTAAATGATAATGCAATATATTTAATGTAAGTATATATGATAGCAGGTCAGATTTTCTCGGATATTCGGGTTCGTTGATCCACTTAAATTAGTTCAAATGTCTCCTAATTGGATTTGGGGTGAGTTTAATGGATCCGTTGGATTTAGGTGTTCTCTCGATTCGGATCTAATCCAAAATCTCAGACTTGTTGGATCCGTGATCTTATCGGATGCCGATATAGTGCATTTTGCAACAAGTGATTCGGATCCATATTTTACCCGATTCGAGTATAATCCGAAATATGTGTCATGGATCCCCATTTTGGATCCATGTCATTATCGGATGCGGATCTAATAGATCATACTAATAGATCATACTAACACCCGCCCTGTCATAATCCCTCGATCCGACCCGAGTCTCCTCTCTCCCTCTCGTTCGTGGCGATGACTTCGACACCTTCTTCCTCGATCCCGCGGGGCCAGGTAACTCCCCCTCGATGAAACCCTAGTCTCTTCCCCCGATTCGCTGCCTAGATCGCTGATCGATTGCTGTTTCTCAAGGTGGATCTCGTTGAATTCGTGGACTGGAGCGGCGTCGAGTGCCTCAACCAGACAACGAGTCACCCGATCGTCAATGCCTTGAAGCAGGTGACCCGTCCACATGTGGCAGCTATCTTCTTTGTTCCTTACTCGTATCTGATGCAGTTTCCTGCATTTCTACTGAATCTGCTGTCATGTTTCATTATTTTGCGTCTTTGTTGATCTTAGGGTTCCAGGGATGACGATGGTTTGCATCTGGAGAGCGACGCGGATGAGCAGCTCTTGATTTACGTTCCTTTTCTCCAAGTCATAAAGCTTCATTCGGTTGTCATCGTGGGACCGGAAGAGGAAGGTGCTCTAGAGCTCTGTCATAATATCATGTTACAGAATTAGTTCATTCTCTTTTAATTGATTGAAGCATCAAGAATAGTTTCATGGATGAGGAAGAGACTTAGAGAAATCAGTGAAGAAATGATTAAACTTTGGTTTAATTGTTTCTTCGACGATTTTCATCAGAAGTTAGTTGTACCTTCATCAATTATAGTGTTCACGATATTGCACTCTTTGCACTCTTTGTTTCTTATAGGTAATGTCAAGTTGCGCTTACAATTTATGCACTATCAAATGTCGTGCTCCAGTTGCTTGATGTTTCTATTGGCAACTTTGAGATGCATCCTAATGAAATTTAAGTAGTATTGTGCTTTTTAAACTGTTATGAGATGTTTCCTATATTCATAGAAAGTGTATGCTGCCTCTGCTTTCTCTTATTTGATGCTTTTTGTATGTTCTATTGATTTAAATACTATACTCGTTATATGGTTCTAGTTTCTTTTCTGGTTGAGAAACTTTTTTGCATGGAAAACGAGATCTCATTATGTTAAGGTTATAGATTTCCTACCTGTATGTGCTGCAACCCTAAACTTCATAAAAACCAAATCAGAAAGTTTTACAAAATCATTGGAACTCTTTAATCAAAATGCTTATTAGTAACTGTAGGTTAGGCGAAACAAGACCAATAACCAATCGAATAACAAATTTTGGGTTACAATGGTTTGCCTGGTACGATTGATGTGACAAAGATATTATTTTTCTTCGTGATTTAAAAATTCCAAGTAAGTGGAGAATACATCTTAGATAAACGGTTCATTGATCATTGGCTTGTTACATAGGTAAATGATCCAAATTTATTGTTATATTCATGGAATATGGCGACAATTGTATGAAGGTGGTGGTTGGTGAATTAGGAGGACTGGAGGAGAGAGAGTTTCTGAACTAGGATGGTAAGGCTTAAGTTGTAGATGCCTTAAGTTCCACACCAGGAACACTGTGGTTGTTGCTAGGCTTCCTATTAGCAACAAGGAAAAGGGTGTGCTGATTACATTATAATAACCAGGTGGCGTTAGCTGTAGCTAGTCTTTTGTGTGGAAAGTGAATGTCAAGTTGTGTCCCAAGATGTGGCTTTTTTGTGATAATCTGTATGGTTCCAGAGAGATTTGTAACTTGAAGGTGGGAAATCATGAGATATTGGATCTGGCATTGATTTAGTTTAATTCCTGGGAGATCAGGTTGGGTATACAGTGGGAAGGTAATCCTTTAAAGCTTTGCTTTTTGTTGTTTGGATGCATACCCATCATCTGGAATTTATTGGTTTAATTAGACCTTGCTTCGTATGGTTTTGTGTTGAGCTTCACATTATTGCAAGAATAATGCTTGGCACAATCTTAAAGGTCAGACACATGGCTTACATTGGTTGGGTTTCCAAGTGCTCTTTACTACATTTTCAAGGGTTTGGATTGATTTGGTACTTGAGTGGCAGAACACTCTGTACATGATTTGAATTAGTGATTTCAATAGGCGCTCGGGCGCTCGCCTAGGCGCTCGGGCGAGGCGAGGAGAGGCCCGAGCACCTCGCTTCATGTCCAAGCGCCTCGCTTCAATGAGGCGCCGCCTAGGCGCTCGCCCAAGCCTAGGCGTCGGGCGAGCGCCCGGGTTAAACCAGGCGACCGAACCAATGTTTTATGTCTGGTTCGGTCTCCGGTGCTTTAGTTGGTTCAATCGGACCAACTAAATCACTGATAGGCTCCCTCACACGATTTCCCCAACTTCCCCAACCCTAACACTCGCGATTTGCCGTCGAGATTTCTTCTCCGCTGTCGCTGCTCTCTGCTGCTGCTGCCACTGTCGCTACTCGTCGCTGCCACAATCGTCACTCATCGTTGTTGTCGTCGCTCACCGCTCGCAACTCCCACTCTCGCTATCGCTCGCCGCTCCCGCTCTCACTACCACTGTCGTTGTCTTAGTAGCCTCGGTCTTCTCACACTTTTCTCACTATACTATTAACAGTATATTAACAATATATTGCTAACTGTATACTAATAATAATATTTTTATTTATTAGATTAATAATATATTATTTTGATTTTAATACTATTAATTTTTTTTATTTAAAATTATTGTTAGGTTTCAGAATAAATGACAAGTTTACAGAGCAACTCAATAGATTTGATTTAAAATTTTATTGTTTTGATTTTTGAGACTTTTTATTAATATGACATTATGATTTTGTACTCGATTTTCTTAATTTAATAGTATATTTTTTATTTAAATATTTATATTAATTATATTGTATATTTTTATATTTTAGCGTCTCGCTTCGCTCGGGCGAGCGCCTGGGCGAGCGTCTAGCGCCTCGGGCGTTTTTGGACCTTGGTGCCTTTTGGCGCCTAGCGCATTTTAAATCACTGATTTGAATATAAAACATTTAGATGTTTATCCTGAGTATTTTTTTGCCTGACCTGTACCATCCCGATTTTATATTTCTGTCTAACAGGAGTTCTCTTTGTGACTAATAAATGAAGTGACTTACAACATATAAGATCTCTTCTATATATTCACCATGATAAGTTCAATCCCAAAGGGAAACTTTGCCATAGTTTTGATTGGCTCTCTATGATGATTAGATGCAAGTTACATATATTCTTGTTTCCACGTTAATGTAGTTTTGTCATTTCATTTGTTGAACAAGTGGAAAAGAATGTCATCCATGTAAAATCTGTAGGTGCTTACCCCCTAGAAGAGCCTGAGCAACTTGATGTCTCGCCTGTGCTGTCCAACTTAACTTGAGATATTCCTATCTGATATGACTTCTACCTTTTGTTTTATTGTGTATGTATTATTACACATGCATCTCATCTGCTAATATAACTCTTACATTAGAGAAGAAGTATGAGATCTCTTATATTAATATATTTATTTCACAATTGGATGCCAATTGCAAAAGCTCTTATTTCCATCTTAATGTAGTGTCTTCATTTTTTTTTTCCAGTTCCACAACTGCAAATAGTATGCCATCCATATAAAAACTTTAGATGTTAACTCCTAGAAGAGCCTGAATGGTTTTCTGCCTCACCTGTACCGTTCAATTTAACTTAAGATTTCTATCTGATGAGTCCTTTTTCTCTTATTACACATGCAACCCATCTGCTAATATAACTCATTTTCAATTAAACCGTAATTTATCTGACTTATAACATTAGTAAATAAGTAAGATCTTGTATGTTCCATCTATTCACCATGATAAGTTAAACCTTCGAAAGGGAAACTTCATTATGATTTGGGTTGGCACTCTACAATGACTAGCCAGTTACAGGCGTTCTTATTTCCACCTTATTATAGTTTCTTCATTTTTGTTCCCAGTCCAACAAGTGCAAAACATATGTCATCCATGTTGTACCAATGTAACATACATGTGTTACTCATGGATTTCACATGGACCCACGTATGTGACTATAAGTGCTTTGTCCTGATTTTGAAATTTGTGCTTCTTGCACATTCTGTTATGTTTATCATTTTTAAACAACTTGAAATATCACATGCCAAAGCTCTACTTTGTATTGTCAGGTCCCAAGACAGTAAAACTCTTTGCAAACAAAGAGCACATGGGCTTCAGGTATTGCTTTATTAGCTTCTGAACTGTTCATCTCATCAAGATTGGATGTTTCATACTTGTATTGTTTATTTGATGGGTTGATAATATTGTGCAGTAATGTTAATGACTATCCACCTAGTGATTCCATTGATTTGTCACTTGACAATCTTAAGGTATGGTTTATGTTTTTTGTCTTTATAATCCTTCTGTGTCTGTACCATTGATTTTTTTTTTGGATAAGATCCTGTAGGCATATAACTTATCTTTTAGCTGTGTTTCATTTCCAGGGGATGCCTGTTACGGTCAAGTATGTCAAGTTTCAAAATATTCGCAGGTATGTTTCATGAAACCTTAGCTAATAATATTTTCTGTAGATATTCAAACAAGAAATAAGTGTTATCTCATTTAACTATATTTTCTCAGCTTAACGATTTTTATTGAGGACAACCAAGGTGGTAGTGATGTCACAAAAGTTCAGAAGATTGCTTTTCTGGGAACAACGTGAGTAATCATGTCATGATTTGATTAATGGCTTATATTTTGTGTTGTTGTAGATGTTTATCTATTTATCCTTGTGGTTAGAGCCCTCAAATTTGGCAATAATAATGTTGAAACTTGCCAAGAGTTTAACACATGCTAAACACAAACGGTTAACCTTATAATATTCTCTTAACATGCAACATTCGAGGATGAGACCAATGTTCTTTTAAGTTTTATGTATGTGCAGAGGTAGTGTGGGAACTTTAATATACTAGAAAGTAGCGTTGTCAAAAGCACTAGACAATAAGACACCAAGGATCCTTGTTGCCCAAAGCGTTAGAAACTGACTTACCTGATAAAAATTATAAAAGATAAATTTTAAGGATAAATATAATCATTAAACAAGAACTTCAATCGATACATGAGTTTTATACCATTTCTTGTGTAAGATGATACACTAAAACATCAAATGAAACACATCTGACTAGATCACTTGGTTAATAGAATGATAATTAAATTAATTTACATCTAAATAACAAAATAAAATAAATTCAAACATCTATCAATCCAGGAACTCTAATCATCAAAGTCAGGTAAATAACATTGAAGATCCTTTGTTGATGGTTACACACTTTCATGCCACTTTCTCTTTTCCGGCGTATATTCTAGCTACATTTTGCTTGAATTTGGATTATCTTTTTCACAAAGTGTTCGACGTCAACATCTTACGCTTGTTATGGTGTCTTATAGCCTAGGCTTGTATCGCCATCTCCGATATTCTTGCGACTTGTATTAAGCCAGTCAATAATGACACAATAGTTTTTCTTGATTTACCATATGAATAGAATATTGCTTCACTACTTGTTACAGGGTCTAGGTTCGCTTAATATTAGTGGAAGTTAGAAGTAACTTTCGAATAGGCCGGGTTGAGCATAACCTCAAGTCAAAACTTCCGATTGTGATTCTAGGATCTTTGTTTCATCAGAGCAGCCATGTATACAGTCCATGAAACATATGTTATAATTTTTTAGAGAAAGCTCTCTTTAAGTTGCAAATTACAATTTTTAATCTTCAGTGGCTTATACTTTATGTACTTGCAGGGTTGATACCACAAACATGAAAGATTTGAAAAAGATAGAAGAGCACTAATACATCTTACCGTTTCGCTTGAGGTGAGATGTGATTCCTCTTTTTCACCTGCAGTATACATCTAACAGATGGAATGAAGCTCTCCTATGTAGCTTCTGCCGAATGCTTCTTGTACTGCTTATACGACGTTACTTGTTTTCTCCTTTAATGAGAGTTGTTGAGGTGCATTTTCTCAGATTCCATTTGCTTCCTGCTTTTGATTGTGATATGTTGTCTTTTGTGGTGGATTTGATGATCGTTGTCTTGTGCCTCTTGTTGCATGGCATATTATTACTTAAGCATATTGTGCCTCTTGTTGCATGGATTTGATGATCGTTATCGGCGGATACTATATGAAAAAAGGTTTGGACCACGCTATAACCTCACATGACTTGAGAGGCTTCGAGTCCAACCTTTTCTAATCTAAGCATTGACTTATATTATCTTTTAAGATAATATCCATGGAAATCCAGAACCCAATCAATCAGGTTTAGATATTATCCAATGTGGATTCGAATCCCAAGTATAAATGTGTTCATGAGGTTACATAAACAATTTGTTGGAATTGTCATTTGACATTTGATTAACCATAGGATTAGGGTACTCGTAAAATCTTTTTCCCATCCAAACTGGATACATAATTCTCTAAGCCGAGTTAATATTATCTTATGCAGTCAGCTATATTTAAAATAACATTAAAGATCTTTTTTATAATCCTAACGACGAAGGGGACAAAACTGAAGAAAGAAAGTGCTTTCATAAAAATTACAAAAGGAAAAATTAATATCAAAGAGAATAGTTTAAAATTATTTTTTACACGTATGTTAATTAATGACGTAAGAAAACAGAGTTAAAAACATGAGAAAAAAAAGATTAAATATTTTACTTTCGTAAATATAAAAAAATTAATATAATTCTTTAAAAATATAAAAATCAAAATATTAAATATAACTAACTATAATGAATAATCCATAATTAATCCTCTCAAGTCTGACCTAAAAACACTTGATGCTTTTTGTAGGGACGACAGTGGTTAATAATGCCTGTAACCAATCTCTGGTGGCTTCTCATATGCACGTGCCACTACCCACTGACACAAGTGAGGTATCTTTCACCTTTGAGGTGTTATAAGCCTATAAATAAAAAAGAACCTCTGTTTCAGAGTGTACTAAACTAGAAAAACATAATGAGATACTGATTACAGAGAATTTCAACATATGTATCCTCGATCAATTAATTCTTTGTATTTCACTAGTAGAACACATCAAAATGGAGCCACAGCACAATGATTACTACTGAAAATAATGACCATTAGGTCTTATCTCCCCCATGGGAAGATCTCAGGCTGTATGATCTTTAACTTTAGCTTCCTGCTGCACTAGGTATGGCGGTGGTGGGTTTCGAGTCTTCGGCTTTCTCATGTTCCTTGTTGAGCATCTAACATCATGAAACAGTGTCATGTCAAATGTTTGTTTCATACAGAACAATACAAGTGTACCACAATATCAGATACAAGAAAGCCCTTCCACAATTAATTTAATTGAACATGGTATATATATGTATGTATGTGTGTCTCTCTATAGAGAGAGAGCAACAGCAGATGAATCTAAATTGTTGATTCAAACCATGAAGTATATACCAATTTCGAATCATAGGTTTTAAAAAAATCTACATGTTCACCAAATCATCCCAAAAAGTATGCTGTCAGATGAGGTGTTAATGCTGCAGTTACATACAAAATCCAAACTGTTGAAATCTATAACCAAATTTACCCAATCTGAAACTTCCTAACCAGTAAAACAAAATTAATATATAAACTTATATATAGTTAAAAAAAAATGGAAAAGAAGCTTAACTTACTTTGTTGTTTATCAAGTTGTGAAGTGCGATAACACTCCGGATGAGGGAAGAAAGATATATAACTAACATCATATCATTCGTTTTCACTGCAAAAAGGAAAAAAGAACAGTAAATTTGTGCTAAGTTAACAATACTTCTCTCCTTCATTTGTGGCAGGAGCGTTACCTGCAAAAGCCTTGATCAATTCATTGACGTTAAGATTTGGAAGTAGATTGAATATGTCCTGTAAAAGAAATTTCACTTGAGATTCAATATATTATCGAACAATAAGAATTTGTAAATCTCTGCCAAGAATTTCTAGCCAGGAGTTTGGCATCTAGGATAGAATTGCACAGGTTGATGAATGCAAATTGACATCAGTAGTATAAAATGCACAAAACTGAAACCAAAAAATATATATAATTACAGTTATATGATGAAATACTAGAAATATCAAGGATAGACGAACAACATACTTCTTTTACCTGAATTGCATATAGTGAACTTTTAGATAGACAAAAAAGTTAATTAGAAATAGTACAGAAAAATTTGTTAAAAGAGTAGACGTTCATATGCACAATTGCTCATGACAAATTTAGCTTAACAATTAGGCCAAAACCCCATTGTCTTCAGCAGCGTAACCAGGAAATGGTGAAGTATAAATCCAAGCAAAAATTAGATAAGCATACAAGCAAGTGCTTAGTGTTTCTCATAAGACCAGACATTTTAGAAAGAAAATTTGACATACTTTTAAGAATGGAATGTAACTTGACCCGGTTTGGTACAGTATGACTGGTATTTACCGGTCCTACCATCGACCAGCACAAGGACCAGCCCAATTTCGGAAATACCAAACTTACCACTCTTCCCTTATCCTCTGCCTTGTGCTCCTCTCCTTTCCTCCACTCTTCCGTGCTAAGATGCCATCTCTCCTCCTTTCCTCCACTCTTCCGTGCTAAGATGCCATCTCTCCTCCTTCCCTCCTCTCCTGTTTGCGCCCTTTCATCCTCCACCTCCTTCCCTCTCCTTTTATGCCACCATCTCTTCTCCTATACTCTGCAGCCACCTTTCATTCTCTCCTTCTGTACCACCATGTGTCCTCCTTCCCTCCTCTGCCACTTCCGCTCTTCTAATCTTTCAATTTTCAGCTAATTTTTCAGCCTTTTTCAGAAAATGATACATACCAGTGTACCGAATGTTGAAACACTGGTACCTGCAGTATGAACCAGTCCAACTAGAGACCAACACAAGGGTCCGATCCAAGATTGCATCCCTTACTTTTATGCATTGATATTCTTATTGGAAATTGAAGTACTCAAAATATATCAAGACAAAATACATTAAGATCAACTGTGTTAATTTAAACGATCATCTTAAACTGTTAACTGGTAATTAGTATGTGTAGCAACTTTTAAACATTAACAGCGAAGAAAGTTGCACAAGCTGGGATACAAAAACCCATACTAGAGAAGATATTTTTATGAACGTTTTTGTAAAAATGAAAACAAGTACCCAAATCTAAACTATGGATAAATCTTCTCTAGTTAAACTCACCTTGATAAGGGTCATTTATTTCAAGAAGTCACTGTGTAACTACTGTTTCACCAATCATAAATGGAAGATTTATATTGTAAGCAATTCCAAAGAACAAGCAATATTATGCCATAATCAATTCCACTATTTCATGCACATAAGACAAGTGGATATAAACAAATATTTAACGAAACAAAAGTGCAATATATCTTGTCCGAAATTTGCTAGAGCTACAGGAATCATATACGCAAATATATATGCATGTGCAATGTGAAAAGTATTGACATAAAATGAACAAAAGAAAATAGAAAACAGATGTACCTGCAAATGGTACAAAATCTCATGATTCAGTGGTAGCTTGCCATCAATTACGAGATCTAGATAACTCCGTATCTCACGTAACCTTGCATCGAGCCCCTTCAAGGCTGAAAGTTTGCCGGTGACCTGTATCAGGTCCAGGAAAATTAGCTTGTTGTTATTGTCATCTCTAAATCATGTCACTAGTTTGATATCCAATCTTGTAAATAGCATCTCTGAAATTAGCCACAATTCTTTAAAGAATCATTCAGCACACTGAAGAAAATAACCTCTGTTGCAAGCGTACTGATTGTTGTATCCTTGACATCCCTCAACAAGTGTTCCACCCCTATAAAAACACAAGCAATTAAGAAACAATTGTTATTTTGAGTCATTAAGGTAAAGAAATTGCTAAATTTTCTTTATTGTATAGAGCATAATGCAGTTCGAGGGGTTATTCAACTAGTTAAAGAATTAAATTATCTAAACAAATCAAGCTGGTTTCAAATTAAACAATCTTAGTTAATGTATACCAATTTCCTCGACTTCATGAGCAGCAATTTCTGAAGACACATGCACAAACACCTTCTGACTTTTCTGGGTAGCATTCTGCAATCAATGTGTCCTAAAGAGTGAGAGCCTTGCATGCACACCACACCAAATAAAATTGGAAAATGCATAGTAGAATAATACACTAGACCAGTCAACCTTACCTCTTTGACCTCTTCAACAGCATAGTAGGCTTTGGTAGGTATACCAAGCTCTTTAGGTTGGACATCAATAATCACCAAAACAGAATTAGGAACATAACTGCAGTGAGAAGCATAAGATTAACTTAAAACCTGAATATCAATTTACCTCTGTATATGTTATATTATGGAAAAAGAAATTAAACTTAACCAGCAAACTTCAGTACATAACAAGAACTTCAAAGGTAACAGGTTCAAAGGTAACAGGTGAAAAAAATAGAAAGTGAAAGGGAGCATAATCCAGAAACCACAAAGGTGGGTCTGTGTACTTCTGGCAGACCTATTATTTTTTTAAAAATAGAAAACATGTGAAGTATTGGTCTTTTCTGCAAAAGAATATATTGATGTAGTCGACCAACAAATAACTGAGGCCTCATGGGTTCTTGTCACTGTATTTGTGATATCCACCATTAACTATCATAAAAGTCACAAACATGGAAAGACTTGTTGAAAGTGTCTTACATCTAATATTGCCAATGTTTGACAGGATAAGCCGACGAATAATTGAACAAATAAATCAGATTCAAGCTAAAATAATCTTTGGGATGTTGAAACTAGCTACCATTGTGCAAAGGTGCAAATTATGATCACGTGATAGAAACTCTATCAATGAGCCATATAGAGAACCACCAGTCATGTCTTCATGAAGAAACCAGAAAAGCTTTTTGATCCTCTACAAATAGCTTTAGGAAATAAAGTTTCTGAAAAAAAATCCACAAAAAAATCTCATGGTTCACAACTAAGAAAAGCAAGTTGGATGATTTCATAATCTTACTCATTGAACAAAGCATGAATGTCCAAATCATTCTCCCTTAGTTTTGGTCCTGTGCTATACCAACCCACAACATGCTCCTTGGCTGCAGAACAATAAGTTTGGTTCAAACATATAATGAAACTTTTGAACTCTTTAAGGACACATTTAAGTTTGAACAAGGTGGTACCATTTATTCTCTTAAACATGGAGAACATTGACTCATGGTAATTATGATCCAGAAACCAAATGCTTGGGTCTTTCTCATCTTCTTCGAAAGGCACTGCACATAAAACACATGAGCAATATGCTTTAAGGAGCTAGAACAAAACCAATCTGACTGGTAGAACAGTATGTATTATATAAGAATAAATCAAACATAGGAACACTTAAATGAAATAAACAGGGTACTGAAAAATCTGATTGATAACAACGACAACTAATATAATGGGATGGAATGATGTCCAAGAAACCCAACTAACTGCATGAAGCACAATAAAGAAATATAGCCAAGAAACTTTCATAAAAATAATGCATCAGCTCAAAATTTGCAACTTAAATGGTGCTTAATCATTTATAATTGGTCATCCCTGCATTATATTATCTGCTTGAATCATTATCTCACAATTTTACCAATTCATTAAACTATGGAGCAAACCTCTACTTCACTTATCTGTTTGAACAACTATCTGCATTCAGCTAGAATTATGTCAAGCAAAGGTCTCAGAAATTAGTGATAGTCTAGTTATAATAAAAGCTGTCTAACATGATCCAACATCTATATCAATTTATTTGTTAACTTTGATTCTTTAATTCTATTCAAAGTATAGAATGCCCTTTGTCTCACTATTATAATGATGCATAACTTAAAAAATAGTAAACCCCACTAATTGCAAACTAAATCCACCTTTTTTAGAACATTAAGCAGATTATTCACATAAACCACTTAGTAATCTGAAAATCAAAATAAAAGGCAATTATTTTGACATATAACTCTGCTCTACCAATTTGTCATCTGGCTTCACTTTGTTCTACTTAAGGTAGACATTCTGCTCTTTGCATTCTTATTTGTTCAAACCTTGAAACCATGAGAACAAGTTACATATATCCTTGTTCTTCTACAATAAGTTTTGATGTTGGCATTTCATTACTCTCTTTGGGCATTTGGTGGAGAAAAGAAGAGAAAGGAAATGCAAGGTGAGAAAATATTTGCTCTTCGTTTAACATACATGGAAAAAGAGAAAAATATGAATCACTCCAAAATGCCTTCAGCATCCATGGCATAGTTATTTCAAAAACAGATATTAGTCAAATGCTTCCTAATAGTATGACGCATACTTCAGCATATATGTAGGATCTGCAGATGATATTTTATGCAAATAGAGAAAACAAACTCCTCAAATGAGTTGGAGGTAAATTATTCACATTCTGCAAATTGTGCTGACATAAACATAACATTGTTGATTACATGATGCTGCATGAAGATAGCATATACATAAACTTAGAATCCTTTACATTTATGTTAAATTTGTTGGAAACATACAAGACTAATCTCATACGATCTTGTCTGGATGCTTTTGCTAAGTGCATTGGTGACTTGAGATAACAAAACCATTCCACATTTTGGTTCAGAACAGTTGGTAGCAGCCCAAATGCCGTGCTAATCTGATTTTGTATGTTTCACTATGAAGTGCATAAATTACAGCCAGTAGGAGATAAGAAATTATAGACAGTGAGTAATGCTCAGATCATAAGAAGTTATACTAAAGCAACTGATCAAGATGGGTCACCACCATATCAGTCAATTAAAATGTTCCAATTGACTATTTATCCCCTATCATAATTCAAGTAGCCCTTCATTTTTAACTGGAACTAAAAATCATTTAAGCTCCCAAACAACACTGGTGGAGGTGGACTACCAAGAATTTGGGAACCTATCCTAACTCAGCATACATCTAAAATATAGTACATCTGCACTTAACAACATCAAATACAAATAATGAAAAATTAATTTATAAAAATAACTATTGGGTACAGAAAAATTCTAAATATACTCAAACCTAGTCAATCTTACAACAGAAATCAATCCGCATAATAAATCAACCATATCCCTCAAGTAGCAATACCAGCAGACTGAAGCCAATACCCATCAGTAGAAGACAGCAACAAAAACTATATTTTGATTTCCAGTTACGATAAATCTCGTCTTCCATACTTCTCTTAAGCAATAGATTGAAATAAACAAACAGAGATACAAAAGCAAACAGAAAAAGAACATAAAGAAAGAATTCACACCTACACGAAACTTCTAACCCATAGGTTCTTTATACTTATTTGCAAAAACATGAGTAAAGGGCAACAACCTAAACCTAATTTTGATTCCAATTATGCCGTGAGACATCTTCCATACTTATGCAACCTTCGACACGAAGAAATGGAGAAGGAAAAGAGGAAAGAATCAAGACAACTGAATCATTAACCTATTGTTCCATATTATTTCTAGACACTCTATGAACATGAAACAAAGTATGCAACACCTAAACCAGAAGACGATGGCAAGAGATCGGGAAAGGGATCTGGTGGCGGATTACGCCCTGACCTGCATAGGAGTTGGTGACGTCGACGGTGCCTTTAGCGGAGGAGCCGAGGAGGACGCCGATGACGCGCTTGCGGGTGTCGCGGGCGACACGGTTGTAGTTATCGACGATGCTCAGCAGCACCAGCGGATGGACGATCACCTTCTCCACCGCCCTCCCCGACATCTGCTGTACCTTCACCACATCCATCCTTCCGCCTTCTCTTCTGTTTCGCTTGTTAGGGTTCTCTCTTCCCCTCTTCTCCGCTACAGAGAGAATTAAGCGTAAGGAGAAAGAAAAGAAGGGCTTACATAGAATCCAATAAACAACAACTTATTTACATATCTATCCTCAGAATATATATATATATATATATATATATATATATATATATATATATATATATATATTGTAGTTTTACATATCTAATCTAACAATGAGATCAATTACATGATATATACATAAATACATATATATATATATATATATATATATATATATTAATAGACAATGTATTATAAATAATTTATGGAAGTAATTTGTGCACAATGATAATATAAAGTTGGACATAGTTCGAGAAAGTAGGATGCAATGGGCTACAATCAATATTATTCCCTAAATAATATTTATCAAACTATCCTATGGGATAAAGTCAAATTTGATGAGATTGATCCAACATGGCTTATTTTTCATGTAGAAAATTTTATTAAGTACTCAAAACTTGGATAAAGAGAATTTTTTACATGAAAAATGTTCGTATCAAATGTATATTATCCCATTTCGATTGGATACGGAAGATGCACATATTTTATTTTTTATAAAAGACTACGACGATAGTTTGTCCGATAAAAATCCTTTAATGATAAATTAATATACGCTCGTATGATTTTATTTTGTGAGTTTCAAATGAAAGAATAGGCATGAAGGTTGCTTTAATATAATAAGGTAATATTCCCTTTAGGTTTTACGTTGATGTGGCATGCCCAATTGATTTATTATCTTTGGTGACTGTGATAGGATGTTCATCATGCACTAATAGGATTTAGTATGTCTTAAGTTTTAATTGCTCGAAAATAATGATCATATCATTTATCGTCATTGTGCTCAAGGCAAAATCTTATCCCTCTTAGTGTATAACGTCAATTTTAGAATCTTGTTTGTAGGATAGTTATCCTTTTATTTTCTTTTTATTTAGGACAAAGTGTATTATTATACACAAAGAGGACGATTTGAGATAAGTTGGGTATTTTTTTTCCTAGTCAAAACCTCATATGCAAAAGAGATGCTTTGGATGCTTCAATTTTCTCTTCTTTATGTTGCGCGAAAATATCACTTGCATTAGTTACATCGGGTGCTTTTTTGTCTAGAGCAAGCGTATTTCGTAAATGTTTTTTTTGTCCTGAGCGAGTGTATCGTATACGAAAGTGTGCGAAAGAGAGTTTAGAATGCATCAAGAACTTTGAATACTTTCTAATGATGGATGGATGGATGGATGAATGCATCACACACAGAGAATGGTAGAAACCTTTGAATGTTTCCTTATCATGAACAAACGAATCACGCACAAATGAGTCACTCAAGAAAGCATTGGGTGTCATGAGTTCAAAGTCACATTTGTGTTGTTAAGTATCGACACAAATAATAGTGATGTGGTGACAAAGGGGTTTGCTGAGCCTTCTTGTGACTCTTTTCAAGTTAATTGTAATTTCACTGTGATTTGTCCACAATTACATCAATCCTTTGCAATCCTTTTCAACAGATCCCACTCGCACCGCCGGCAGATCACATTCTCCACCAAACACAGCAATATAAAAAGAAATTAAAAAAAGCTTACTTACGATGAGATTATCACACGAAGAAAAGAGAGAGAGAGAAAGAGAGAGAGGAAAACAAAACACTTGATATATACATGTTATGAATAGGATTACCCAAATACTTCAAACTGTCAAAAGAAGAAAAACTCAAAAACTTACATTAAGCTTCAACATCATGATGTGCAAGTCAAATTAGACACATGAAATTGAATTCAAGAGTACGGTGCAAATCGATTAGAAAAACTAGAGTGATAGACGTTACATACAAGTAAAATAGAGAAATGCTCACAGCTTGTCATGATAAATACTTTGAACTGGGTGGGTTATCGCAAATACCAAGAACTTGAGTGATAAACAAAAGATGCAAATCTATATCAAATTTTAACAATTGGAAATAAATAATGTAACTTTTAATCAAAACAGTTTTTCTTCTTTTTTTTTTTCTTACTTGATAAGTTACATCATAAACTACTCATCTCTAGTTGAGCACGGGATTTTAACCTTGACATTCTCGAATGATCCACTGGCAAGGATGGAACCTTTCCAAGTGTTTTCAGAAAGCTTGATCTTGAATTCAAACGGCTTTAGCTCCATCAACTATTTCGCTGGTCAGGATGTGCCCCAAGGTACTTATCCAGCACATTCTTGAATGCCTGCAATGCAGTTCCGTGATTATTATTAGCAAAGCAATGAAACCTTGGTAGTCTCTCTTATGCGCATGACACTTTCTTTTCTGAATAAAAGGAAAAGAAAGCTATCGTATCCATGCAGAAAAAATCTTCCCTAGGGAAAAAAGCTGATGGCATAGAAGCTCTTATCATATCAGCTGATTTCTATTAGTGTAAAATAGGCATAATGCCTGCGCTAGATATTTAGCTCAAAGAAGACGGTTCACAGAATGGATACATCACTGCAGAAAATCAAGTACCTGAAGAGCAAATAATTCTTTCCCGTTCAATATTGCATCCATTGCAGCAAACTGGTCATCGAAAACACCATAAAATTGACGGTAAAACTCGCACCTGGATACAACAGAAGGGAGGAAATAAGAAATTCATCTCTCAAGTTGCATGTCTATGAGAAAAGAAGTTAGGATCCGCTCACTGTTCTTCTTTCATGATTTGTTGATCCATCTCATCAAACTTCCTCGTCAGAACTTCTGCTCCCTTTGGTGAAAGCATGTGCAAGATAAGGGCTTCCAATGTCCTTGGAAAGTGATGCTAAAAGAAGTGTGGATTCTCTATTAGTTCAATTTAGACTGATACTGTAGGCTGTTAGAACATTGTAATAGTATGATAGCAAAACCAACAGTAACTTGTATTTCCCTCAAGTAGGACTACAGTAACTTTTTTATTTCCCTCCAGTAGGGCCAATCCTTGGTGACTCACTTGCAAAAACAAGTAATTTCTATTGTGATAATTTAGCAAAAAGCCTTACACTGAATGAAAGAAGAACCAATAACCCTTCTAGATAGCTAGTAGGTAATGGTTTCTATATTGTCTCCTTGAAAATGGTTAATGAAAAGGATGATACACTCAAAATCAATTCAGATAAATAACAAGTAAGCAATTTTTCGAACAAATAATATAGCCTAGCTTAAATTGTTATGGTCTGAACGCCACCTTGCTCACAAACGAATTGCCACATGTCCTTAGATTGGATCGTAACAACTCCATGTCTCTCAGATCCACCTTGTCCCTAAGGTAGAGGATCAGGACTATTTTGCAGATTTAGTTTCTTGAACTGCATCTTTTCATCTTCACATTTCAAGGATGTGAATTTTGTTATAAAAGATTATCTCAAGATGATAAACTTCTGTTATAGAAGATGATCTAGGGCACTTTGTTCCTACAATCAAGATGATCTCAAGAAATTATCTTGTTACATCAACTTATTTCATAATTTGTGCCTGGAAATAAAGTACTTGAAATAAAATGCACTACTCCAGTTCATCATTTGTGCTTGCTTGCTGACTTGACCAATCTAATGCAACATTATAAGAATACAGTTCAGACTAACAAATTTTCTCATTGATATGCTTATAAGGAAATTTATGTCAATCACATTTAATGCCTTTGAAATATAAGCAAAGGATATGCTTACCACCATTCCCAGCAGAATATTTCGGAGCACAAGTGGTTCAACAGCCAAAAAGATGTTTGCAACTGTGTCAATTTCTGACAATGGTGGATTATCTTTCACTATCTGCTCCTTTTCAACATCTGGACTAGACGAATCTTTTGAAGTGGACTCAGTAGATCCATTTTGATTATCAACACTAATAGTATTATGAACTAAAGAGACAAGTTCATATAGCACATGAAGTGCAAAGGGTTCCAGCTGCTGCAAGATTCCATGCCTCCTGCTACTTTCTTTTGTAGTATCTCTCAGCTTACAGCGATCCATTTCATGATTGTCTGATCAAGTTATTACAAGAGAATCATATTGCATGAGGAAATGTCATAATAGATTAAACATGGGACAGATTATACATCAGCATACTGAATCATCAAGAATCCTACACCAGAAGCTATTTGCTCGATTTCCATAAATATCCTATGTTTGCAACTACATGCATTGAGGAAATGATCTTTACATGAGCAATGAAATAAGACACCTAATTATTTATTTTATTAAAAGAAAAAGCATCTCATCACCCTATACAAAATCAAAATTGGAGTTGTAATTAGCCAGCAACAATAGAATCAATATCAACCAGACCAATCGAATGAGATTTGTGACCAATCTGAAATAATTAAAAATATTAAAAATGAAAAATGAAAGTAGAAAATTTTAAATTTTCTAAAAATAAAGGATGTACAAGAACGAGTTTATTGTATTTTCTCTCTCTCTGACTTCTCCCCACTCTTTTAATCTCCCCCTCCCCCCCCCCCCTTCAACTTCGTACTTCGGTCCTCCCCTCTCTCTCTTCCTTCTCTTTTGTTTCTCCTCTCATGTCCATTCCTCCTTTCTTTCTTTTTATTAATCATTAGATAAAGATTTCATGACTCAATTGTCCAAAAGTTAGCCAAAATTGGCTGGAAATTGTTTGATTCACCCATTTTTTCCCAAAATCAGCTGATTCCAACAAATCTGATCAATTTGGACTTATTTCTGATCAATTCTGGCCACAAATTTATTTTTTTAATTTGGATTTGATTGATCCAAATTTGACTTGAGATCAACCAGTTTGGAGACTATGCAAAAAATTATAGTAGTTAAAACTGAAACCAATACTTCTAACCTTAGTCTAGACATGAAAAATCTATTTCTGTCATCTCCCAAAACACATTATTAATTTGGGCTAATAATTTTTATTTTTCTGAAAATATGTTCAAATAAACTAGGAAAGTCATTTGTTCTGTCTTAAATTGTTCCTTGATAAAGGTATTTGCATCCAACAGTGTCCTATTCAAAGTGATCAATATTACATTTATCTAAAAGAAGCATTAATTAAAATGCAATGGATAAAAAGATAAAGATAACTTTAACTCTCATTAATTTGCAACGATATGGACATAATGCTAACTCTTGATAAAAATCACCACTGCTTGGAAATTACTTTTGGTTTTAAAATTGCATCTAAATAGTTGCTACAAGTTTAATTCATCTACACTGCTCATTCTTCCAAATTAAAAAACCTTTGTTTCCCTCAAAACCCTCACATCTTTAGTGGACTTAAGACTTTGTCCAGACCAATTCTTTAACCCCTCAATTCTCTTGTCAATGCTACATGTACAAGAAACCTATTAGCATATACTGTTAGCATTTTTAGTTAATGATAGCTTTGGAATTTATAACTTCATAAGGTGCAAGCAAAGATGTTCAATTTCGTGGAAAGGAATTGTGCTGGGAATGCATAGGCACGAGACTTGTTAATCAACAAAAAAGTCGTGATTTTGTGCAAGGCTTGTTGTACCGCCCGAGTTGGTATGGCCAGTGATTTAAAAATCGCTAGGCGCCAAAAGGCGCCAAGGTCCAAAAACGCTCGAGGCGC